TATATATATATATAACAGGTGCAAACGTTTGAACAAGTTGAGAAACGCCACTTCAAAGAAAAACATGATGAAGAGGAAGGATCCTGACAGAAAAAGCATGAGCCTCCCAGACTTGACGTCATCAATTAAACCGCGCTTGAACGGTATTCCTAGGGCTCATCAAGCGGAGTTAGACAAAATGTAATTGAGAATTAACACTTTAATTACTCGCTTACTAAATTATTATACTCAATATTTAAAATGAATGTTTTGTAATTATCTTATTTTACTATTACATTGTATTATTATAACAGACTATGTAAATTAAATGAAGCCTCACCGGATGACCACAACTCGAATTCACCTCGGCAGAAACTCACCAGAAATAATATACGACATTCGCGCACTATCGTTGATCCTTGTTATCCTGTCTTCCGATACGATGGTCTACCAGTCTCGCAATCATTGTACGAGCAATACATCGCTTCCCATTGCGAGGAGTTGTGTGATAATGGCGATGGCGTTTATGAACGCCGTGGCGACGATGACAATCTACAATCAAGGGATTTACTGAGCGGTCTGACGAGCGCGAAATTGCCGATAAATAGTAGCCAGAATTCAATCACGATGGATGCTCGCGAAGGTATGTTATTCTAACTCCTAAACTAAAAAACTTGCAAAAATATTTTTTAATATAAAAAGAAGAGTAAGAAAAGAGGAGTAAAAAGCGATAGCAATAGTAGCGTCGTGAATATTCGAATATGCTTCAAACATTTGTTTTAAACATAAATCTTTAGAATGCGCCAATCTTGGATACGACAAGAGCAAGCAAGAGACATACAAGAGATCGATGAGTTTACCGCTGAAACCACTCAACGTCGTCGCTGAGGTGTCCAACGGCGATGATCGACGAAAATCGATGTCGGAGTGCGGTGGTGTAGGAAGCTCGTTTGAGTTTCCACAAAGACGGAAACTAGACGGTTTACAGTTGACGCCGCTGATGTCAAAACTGAGTTTACTGGCTGACGAGCGAACTAGCGGTTTCTGTAGCCGCGAGACCACGCCGAGCGAATTCCGCGATCTATCCGGATTTTCTAGTGGCGTAGCAATAGCCACGACGACGATGACGAATCAGTTGATTAGGCAGAAGTTGGAGTCCGTCGGAAAGGAAGCAAGCGACGGGGAGGATGAGTTGGATGAAGATTGGGTTAACAAGGACGAGCCCACCACCTGCCTCGTCAAAACCGAACTCTTTCTTTGCGGTTATCAGAATATGGTGTTGGTGCTGCTGATGGAGAATGGCACTGCGAACAATCCGGATTTAATACATGCTTTGGTAAATGCAAATATTTTATAAAAGTCATTAGATTTAGGACAAAATATGATGAAAATTACGGAAGATTATTTTTGATGGGCAATACTATAACAAAATATTTTTTAAAAAATTAATAAAATTAAAGAATTATGAAATAAAATTGTCCAAAATATTTTCTATGTGTTATTCTTCTAAAGATATAATTGTAGAAATAATAACTAATAATTTGTTTCTTGTAGTGGCATACTTGCGTGAGCACATTGGGCAAACTTGAAACACGTCTGCAACAGTGTTTGGAACCGCTGCCATCAACGGAGAACAAGGAGTTGTACAGTATTCTGAGTGTGGACCCACAGTGGGACACAGTGCAACGTTCTGGACTCTGGGGAGTTACCGAATTAGATATCGTGTCCTGCCTTCACGACAGATTTACGCAAGCTAGCAGTTTGACTGATATTATCGTCAGGTAATTATAAAGCTTTAAAAACTAAACAAATTCATTGTTTCTTACATTCAATTTATATTCCTTGAGACCTCTTCTCGTCTTTTTCATTCGCGAAAATTTTAGTTCGTGTATTTTAATTTAGTATTGTGTGTCCTTAAGATTGTATTAAAATAGTTATGACTTTTTGTTTTATTTCATGATTTATAAGATTTATTTTGCCAGTTATAAGTTGGATAAATTCGCAGAAAATTAAGAAATTCTTATAACATTACGTGAATAGCAAATATATTATTTATGATGAAAAAGTCGAGTTTGCTTAGTTAAAAGTTTAACATCATGGAATATTTTTATTGAGTAGAACGGAAGACACAGTGGTTTACGGTAACCAGAGCGGAGGAGTAGAAGTTTTCTATCAGCAAGCAGTAGCACCGAGTGCTTTTGCGGCACTTCCCACCCCGGCAGATCTAATGGGGATCGTGGCTCTCAAAGCGAAACGTCGATTGGAAAGAGATCACGGGATCGTACTACTGTAAAGAACTGCGCGTTATTTCTTATTCTTTTTTTTATCAAAAAGGAGGAGGATAATGCATACGTTCACGATTTCGCTTATTTACACTTGGTGAGAGAAAATTATCATATCCAGTACAAGAAAAAAGAATCGAACGTTACTTTGATGGGATAATTTTAACGAGAGATATACGGGAATGTTTTTCTACGTATATTTTTGTAATCTGTGATTTTCCAATGTAATTTCCGAGCGTAATTCCGGAAGAATCGGTGGAAGATCGAAGAGTTTTTATATACCGCTGCAATGTACCTACGTAATTTCTATTGTGTAAGATCGGTCAAGAAATTTTCTACGATAGCGGATCGTCGACCAATACGTTTGTACTTTACCATTTCATCAATCATGCAAACCGATATTACAACAAATGTTATTTATATATGTTATATATGTTATTGTATATAAGATGTCTTAGAATCGACGGAAAGTAGATGGAATTATGGTTCCATTTGAGGAGCGCGCTTTCTGCGCTATTATATTATTTTATTTATTTTTATTGTTTATTAAACATAAAATAAGGAGAAAATAAAGCAATAGCGCACTCTCCGAACGCACCACATATATGTTTTTAAAACTTAAAGTTTTAAAATTTTTTACCCATTAGTATATCATAAGATTTATAAGGCATATCTCAGTAGATTCTGATTTATAAGTCATTAGAAATGAGAAGTCTTTCGGGAATCAGACTTCAAAAGTGAAAATAAATAATATAACATATTGTCCGTAATTTAATTTTTGAAACAATTTTATCTTATTGTTAGTAAGATTTTTATTTAATATTTATTATTCACGGTCTATATAATTGCTATAAATATTTGCTATTTTTATTATTTAAAAATTACTTTAAGTTATAGAATATTGTTAAAAATGGCTCATTTCAGATTTTGTGGGATACGACATTATATCTTCATTGATTCTCGGACATCCTGTATAAGCTGATTTATTGTATATACATGCGCGTGACAAGCCATTAATAACTTATTTGTATTTTAATCGAATCAGCGCGAATGAGACGCTCAGTTTTATTAGAAGATATAGTTATTAAATTCTCCAAGTATATATTCTCCAAAAACAAAAACGGAAATCAGTATTTACGAACGCGCTGCGTCCAGTATTTCTAGTCGCCCTTGCTTTTGTAGGGAAAAAATAAAAACGATAATAATAATACAAGAAATAAAGAAATATCTACTCGTTGTCAATTTTAATGTAAAGATATTTTATGCGTTTTATGCGTTACTTTTTGTAATATCATTGCCGTCTCGATATTATTAATCCGTTTTTGTTTCATAATGTTTAAAAGAAATGTCGATGAAATCTTCGCGTAGAAATCTTCCGCGACACAAAAGTTTCCATAATAACGATGTGCAATGTTTCTAAATATTATATTGTAATTAATTTAAATGCTAATAACTGCATCGAAATTTCTGTTGCGAACAGAGTTGAATTATGTTATATCATTCCGTGCATTCTCTGATGACTTTTTTCTCTGTATCTGATAGTTCTTGTTTGAAATGAAGTATAATAAAGTGATTTATCATTCTCTTTACGTTCTTGAATTTATTTTTCGATGCATTTTATGCGTCGGAATGTTTTATATAATAATGTTACTAGTTAAAGTTATTTATATATGTATATTTATTTATTTAAATAATTATATATTTATTCTTAAAGTGATAATCGAATGTTACAATACTCCTGATAAATGGATGAAATTTAATATTAATAATCACGTGGGCGAGCTATTTGTCACAACGACTACATCATCGTTTAACATAAACAACACAAAAAAGTATCTAATCTAATATCACATGATATAAATGAATAAATGCATTAGAGGGTGTGTGCACAGAAAAACTACATTCTAATGCAGGGCAGTGTAAATATGTTTACTATTTAAGAAAGAATGAGATATTTACGAGAAGAACTATTTTAATATGCCAAATGTGATAAACGCAATTCGCAGTTGTCTGAATTCATAAAAGGAATAAGACAGATCTTATTAAGTATTCATGGAATGCACTTTATATGTGTATTACGGTTTTTATATAAATGCAGTAAATCTTTTTTTAGCCTATTTATTCAACTTCAATATCATGGAACAGCGTTTGTATGAATTACTCAAATTTTAACATACACTTCTTTTCTGCAACTTAAAAAATTGTAAACAACAAAAAGCTGACAGAAATATTTTTGAAAATAATAATATCGCTTTGTGTGTAATAATCGAATTATTTAAAAATGCAGTTTATATCTATAATTCCAATCTATAATAAAACGGAAGTTTCTGTAAACAGATACTTTTATCAACACATTCCTGGAAATCTTTGGAAATCTTATTTATGTACATATTTTGATATAGGATCAAAATGTATAATCAGAGAAATGTGTCACCTTGTGTTAATCAGTAAAGGTAAGTCCATCTCGAACACGTCGTTGAGTCTATCTCAGCTTTAATCTTTAACGACACGTTTAATTTAAAAAAAAACTTGCTGTTGCTAGTGATTTATAAGCTACTGAGGAACGTAGCATAAACAAGCCTTCGCCGTAGACCAATAGCAATCTGGTGGGCTCGATATTTAAAGCAGAACTCGATACAGACCGTGATAGTCGAACGTTCGATATTCTTATAGAAGATACTTTTTATACCGTTTTCTTCGAAAATCATGGTAAGTTGAAAAATTGTTACCTGGTATTAGAATTATTTTTACAATTTAATTTAATCATTGAGTGCATGATTGTTTATCTAATATACAATTGATCAATATAATTCGCAAACATAAAATTTTTTTTGTATGATATGCCTCATCGTTATTATTTTTACGTTATTATTATCTTTTACATTATTATTATTTTTACATTAATATGATATGCTGGAATATCTATTATCGTCTAACAAATATTTATTTTTTAATTAATTTATCTAAATAAATTCTTCGCGTTTGCTTTCAGACGAGCTACAGCGATAAAGGACCTCAGGTAAATAGCCTTGCCAAAAGTTGATAGGACAAGTTATTTTTTTATATGTATAGAATAGAATCACACTATTACTATTTAGAATTTTTATATAGGAAAAAGAGAATCACTATTACACTAGAAAAATGTAATGCAATATCTGCATTTATTTCAGCCGGTTGGAGGAAAATTCCTCAGTTTCGATTATATAAAATTCTGGGTTGGAAATGCAAAGCAGGTAAATTTACATATGCAGAACATTTCTTAATACATGGGAGATATCGTAAAAATACATCTAGAAATAAAAAGAAATTATAAATTGTATGCTGTGTATGCAATATGATTCTATTCTTTATCTATTTCCTCTTTGGAATTTTATCAGTTTTAGAGAGTTATGTAAACAAAACTTTGTTAGTTTTATGTCCTAAATTCTTTCTTATAATTCTTCCCATGTATCAAGATATCTTATATAAAACAAAATAAGAAAAAATGTGAACAAAGGTCAGTAATTGAATAAAAAATTTTTTTAACAAATTATATTATTATCAATATATTAACAAAGAGTATAAATTAAAACGGACGTTTTAGACCGGTCCTTTTGCAGTTAACGTAATTTACACATATGGTATATATATATATATATATATATGTGTGTGTGAAAATAAAACACAATTGCCCTTGTAGGCCGCCAGTTTCTACCGATGCAGAATGGGATTCGAACCGTTTGGATATCGTGGTCTGGAAACCGGCAGTAGACGAACAGCCACACACATTGTCAAACAGAACAAAGTGAGTAATTTTGAACATTTGCACGCGCAAATCCATAAGCACAGTAAATTATAAAAATATCTTAATTTTTTAATTAATTACTTATTTAATGATGAAAAGTAGTGTTCGAAATCTTGGATATTATTTTCTAAGATATATAGAACTTTCTAATCATAATTATAGATAGTGTTCATGTTCGAATCCCCGTATGAACCTGATAACGAAGAAATGTCGGATCATCTTTCCCGACACGGAGACGGCGTGCGAGATGTAGCGTTCAGTGTTCAAGATATCGATACCATTGTGAAGGTAAATATTATAAAGGAGATGCTTTTTCTTCGTTTAAAAATATGAATTCTCTGTCAATAGAATTTCCATGTTATAAAATGAAATATTCTTTCCACAAAATAGAAACAATTAAAAGTAGCCGCTTTAACTTTTTTTTCTATTCGAAACTGATAGCAAAGTAATTTTCAAATTATCTTCATTAACATTTTATATGATGTATGTAAAGGTTGCTAAGCAGAAGGGCGCCGAAATAGTAAGAGACATATGGGAGGAAAGCGATGAATATGGCACCGTGAGAATGGCCACTGTGAAAACCGTAAATATAAAAATATTTCTTTATACGATTTGCGATCTTATTGTCTTCTACATGTCAATTAATTCAACGTTATTGTTATCAGTATGGTGATACTCTCCATACATTTGTTGATAGAACGAAGTATAAAGGCTTCTTCTTGCCAGGCTTCGTGAGGGTATCGAAGGATGCTCTTCTCGATCAATTGTGAGTATACAGAAGCGCAATTCCTCATACAACGGTCTAGTTAAGTTAAAACCACTCCGCTTTAAAAAGAAAACTAAAATATATACAATATGTGTATTTTAATAATATCTTACAATATCTATATCTGATGAGAGAAAAGAACGTTTTACTTATTAGAATATAAAGGCTATTCTTATTTTTAAAATTTTAAGATATATCTAGATATATATTAAGGAAAGAAATATGAAAGATACTCGATGGTTAGCTTCGAACTATATCGCTATGCTTCTTTTAGGCCGCAATTACATTTAAATTTCGTAGATCATGTAGTGGGTAACCAGCCTGACAAACAAATGGAACCCGTTGCGAAATGGTATGTAAATTACTACTTCTGAACGTAAACACGTTTATACTAATGACAAGAGTTTATATTAATGAAATGTATATACAGGGTGTTCCATTTTATTATAATTAAAATATTTTCTGAAAATCACGAGAAATTTTAAAGAAAAATATTTCAAAAGGTTTGAAGGGGAACATAAGAGAGTAGCATTGATTTGACCTTGAGCAGCCAAGATCAGATCAAGATTACTTTGAATTTTTTAAATAGAACTCCCCATTTTTCACTGCATATTCTTATACCTTATTTCGACAACTCTTGAAAATACTACAACACAATATTTTTCTATTAAGTACTTTTTTAGTTATAAAACTTGAAAGTTGTAGTACCGTCGGTATTACTATTATCTAATCTAAGGTATCCGATCGATGGCTAAAACTTCTTGAATGTTGTTCAAGATCATGACCTTAGATAATATAAGATCAAAGCCATGGAGGTAGTCCCTCTTATTTTCATTTTTGATAGTAAACAGCAATGTTTGTTATAATTTTCATTAGTAAGAGAGATATTGTAATAGTATTATATATATAATAGTATTATATATGTATATATACATATAAGTATAATATATTAATAGTATATTTATCTATGCGATAGTATATTAATGTAAAGTAGAATAAAATACGGAATAAAATAAAATTCATGCTGCACTCATCGAATTTCATCAAATTTCTAAATTAGAAATTTCCAAATTCCTGAAGATTTCTCTTTTTCTGCCCTTCTCAGGTACGAAGACTGTTTACAATTTCATAGATTCTGGTCAGTGGATGATACGCAGATGCACACGCAATATTCCGCGTTACGATCCATCGTGATGACGAATTGGGAGGAAACAGTGAAGATGCCAATCAATGAACCCGCATCAGGGAAGAAACGTTCTCAGATTCAGGAATACGTCGAGTACTATGGTGGTGCCGGTGTACAGCATATTGCCCTCAATACCAATGACATTATTACAACGGTAAATAATTAAACGTTATAAATCGCATTTATGCACAATGTACATATCAAATGCAAAATACAACTATGCAATACAAAAGCAACTTTAAAAACCAACTTTTTGTCGCATTCTCTTAACATTTTTATTCCGTGATCTTTACTAATTAATAATTAACATATATATTAATTTAATATTTTTAAATATATATAAATTAAAATATTTTATAAAATGTTGTCGCACGCTCGCAATAAATTTCCCCACACATCCATTCTCACGCACATTTTATAGATAACAAATCTGCGTGCCAGAGGTATGGAGTTTCTCGACGTACCTGATAATTACTATGGCATGCTCAGAAACCGCCTAAAAGCCAGTGGCACGAAAATCGTGGAGGACTTGGATATACTACAGGTACTTTTATTGATAATGAATTAAAATTAATTCTGGTACAAACGCGTTTACTGTTATTTCGACTGTTATCGCTTTGCAGAAATTAAAGATACTAATAGACTACGACGAGAATGGATATCTTCTACAAATATTCACGAAAAATATGCAAGATCGGCCAACATTGTTTATAGAAGTCATACAGAGACGCAACCATAATGTAAGTACTAAAGGAAAAGTTTATAGCATCTAATTTTACATCTATAAATTTACAAAAAATTTACGAGTCTAAAAATTCGAAAAATTAATTAATGCTTAAATAATCACAAATTTAATTTACTACTCCATGTTTAGGGTTTCGGCGCCGGCAATTTCCAAGCGTTGTTCGAAGCGATTGAATTGGAACAAGCAAAACGTGGCAATCTGTAGGATATTAATATTATTGATGTATTCGTAAAATTAGAATTATTAGCCGTAATAAAGTAATCCTATGAAAGAGTGAAGGATGAATACTTTTGTACTTAATTGTATTATTTTAATTATATAATGAGATATCACATTAAGAGTGTATTATGTATTATATATAAAATCCGCATCGAGATTTATTCAGCACCATCTAACACTCTGCTACATACCACTATTATTATTGATAATGCATTCACATTGTTATAGAGCTGTACGCTTTATCGCATTTGACGAAAATGTCAAGGTTTTACGTTTTCGTCTGTGGAATAGATAATCAACTTGTCCGATTAATTCCGTATTCTTGTATTTAATGGCCAACATTTTCGTATTACAAAAATACACAGCATTTTAAATGTAAAATATGTTACAATACATTTCAAAGCGTAGTAATGCAAAGATATATGTCGTCAAAAATCAAACTCCTTCGATTAATGAGACATCTATGTGTATATGTTGTGCTAGTACGTATAACTCTAAAAAATGTAAATTCGTTTTTTCAGACAACATATATATATATAAATATGGGTATGTGTGTGTATGCATGAATGTATATATATGTTGTATGGAAAAGTGATGAAATTACTTAAACTGTGTAATATTGGCTGTTTCATTTCGCTCTCTTTTTTTCGTGGCCAAGATATAAGCGCGGAAATATTCTTCATATAAAACTTGTAATATCTATAGAAAGAATAGGGATAGGTAGGATGTGATTGTGACGAGAAGATTGTCGATGAGATTAGGTAGCTCACTTATTAATCGCGATCTCCAGGATGTCTATCGCTCGACAACCTGTCTGTTCACATGCTCATCGCATTTACTGGATCTTCCTCGTTCATGCGCTATCATGAATACTAAGGCGAAAGATATCATGCTGACAATAGTATGAATTACCCATTGGTTTCAGCACAAAACATTGCGAGAAGGCGTGTGGTGGATCCTCGTCTGCCTGTAATTAAATGCAAGTAACATGTACACACATATAATAATATATACTAAATATATGATAAAGCAATGTCAATGTTAACGTTAATTATATTGAAGCATTGTGATTCAATTTTTGATGTTACAAATGCAAAAATATGATTTTTTAAATGTTAATTTACATAGTAGCCTAATTATTATTCCAATTAGTTCAGCAATTTAATCTTATATCGAGAGCTATCTGTTTATAATATGTCAAATTCAATTAGTAATTCATACATTTGTGCAACTTTCACAGAAACCTGATCATTTGTCGCTCATGGTTTGCACATCTGAGACCTCCAAATCAGATATATATTTCATGCATGTTTATACATTTTATAACATGATTATTTTGATACACGCTTTTTAAGCAAAATAGATTAATAAAATTGAAAAAGGGAAATACAAAACAACTAAAAATAAAAATAAGTAAAAAATACCGCAAAAATGTCAAACTGCAACAAATAAAACAAACATCATAAAAAATATTAATAAAATTTAAATGTTATGTTATCACAGTAGGTCTTAAATGTAACACAAACTTTTAGCACAATCTATATAATGGGATGCAGATATTGTATTGAGAAGTTCTATTGCTCTAGAAATTCTGTGCTGAATCAAGATAGAATGAAAACAATATGCAACAAATGCATGATATGAAATATCGGACAAGGAGATTTTTGCGATACCTGATGCCTAAACCGTGTCGTGTAACGCAAGTCTGAAGATATCATGCTGCACATAAAAGCTGGTACCGATCGGCTTCAGGACAAATGTCTGGATGTACGCATGAGGTTGATCCTCGTCAGTCTGTACGATCATCAGTAATCACTAAATACTTTTCGGTAATTGATAAAAACCTTTCATTATAGAACTTGTTTCCCGTCTGTAATTTCTACCTATAGTTTTATTTCCATCTGTATTTCCCATATATTATATAGTTATTTTATTTCTAATAAATACATCACATCCAGTAATTTCTCTTGTTGTACAAATTTGTATATAAAAAAACAAGGTTTATAAACTATTAAAAATTAAAAATTAAATTACTGAACCGATTGGCTTTGTATAAAACATAAATCTCATATATATACTTTAAAATTGTAAAAAATTATAACATATACTTCTTATAGTATAACTTAACACTACCTTTATTATATAATTAATTGTATTTTGTCATACTGGACGCTTTTTACAAAATATTTATTCTTATTAGTTACTTTCCTTACCTGCAACCTTCCTAAAACATTAATAAGAACACCACCATCAAACATTGGTTGCGAATCAATTGCTGTTATTATCCGATTTATTTTTTGAAAGGATAAGCTCTGGAAAAGAAAAGAAAGTTGATATAACATCAGTATTAATATACATATTTTTTAACTAGAATAACAATAATTAATAATAAAAAAATTAAATTAGAAAAATTAAATATACAAGCCAAATATATTTGGTAAAATATAAATACAAAATCTAACACACATGTTTACATACAATTATTATATATATATATCTTGTATCTATATTTAGATCTTATTATTTCTATTTGGCTTCATCTATACTTTGATTTTGAAATTCTCAAAATTGATGGCATTTATAAATCAAATCAACTGGCAAAAAGTTTTATATTTGCAAATGGAATTAGCCAAATATTAAACTCACACAGGAAAGTATGAAAGTCATAAATGTATACTAATATCAAGCCTCCTGCAAAAAAAGCTATGAAGATCATCATTCTCTATGAAGAAAATATTTAAACTGAACTAACAAATTTCTTGAATCCTTGACGCTCAATTCATTAGCAAATAGACTAGATTAGTTGCAAAAAGGTCCTTCTGATGAACTCGAAGGAAGAAAAACACCTCTCTCACCTCAAGAGGAATTGAGTGCATATAGGTAATCGTAAATCAATTTCAGAAACAGTGTCAGAAAACTTTACTCACAGTTAATTTCTCCATGATTTTGATAGCGCCCTGTATCTGCAAGCCCTCGAACGTCATAAAGGATGTTTCCGCCTGGAAAAGGTTATGTCGATCAGTCGTGAGACCGGAGTAGTCGCGAGGGAACCGAGCGATGGGACTCGCAACGGTCCCGGGGAACGGATCGCTCGCGTCTTACATTGTACATGTTTATGAGATTTGGCCTTTGTGCCGGGTCGTCAAACATCGCGTAATACTGCTGGACGAAGCCCTTGCCTATCGCCTCGTACGGCACGTTCATCGCCATGGTGCTGAGGACCGGCAGTTGCGACCGATGCGGCGAGAATCAAGCACGCCGATTAACGAGACTACTCCACCTCCTTGTCTCTGAACCAGTGTTGCCAGATCAGGAGATTTTCCCCTAAATTTAGGGGATTTTTAGTTGCATCAGGGGGAAAAATATTTAGGGGATTTTTTTAGGGTATTTTAAAAATTTCCGGAGAAGTTTTTATATATTATTTTTTTTAATTCTGATTTATATTCCAGTGTGCTTGTCCCGTTTCACGCATGATGTGCATAATGTGTGAAACGGAACGCACCTATATATATATATATATATATATATCTATATATGGTGTATATATATATAATAATAAATACAGTTTAAAAAGGCTTAAGCGGGGAGCACAGACTTTTGCATAACGCATAAACCATATACATAAAGAATTTGATTGGTCCATTGACTCATGCATAAGAAAATGGACCAATGAAATTCCTTATGCACATGCTTTATGCATACGCATAACTTTTGCATAACGCATAAACCATATACATCCGAATGCCACTCAGGTATCTTTCTATCCTTATGTTTGCCAAATGTTAAACAAGGATGACATGACACCCGGGGAGCACTCGGGTGGGAATCTGAACACGCCCAAAAATGAGCAAATCTATTAGGTGACTAATGAAATATAAATATCCTTATAAATTCGCTCATTTTTTAATTTTTATTTTAAAATCGATTTTTGAAATGCTAACTATGGGAGCTATTTTGAAAGTTTAAGGAATTTTAGGGGATTTTAGATGATTTTGGTAGAAGATTTTTAGGGGATTTTTAGGGGAAAATAAAATACATTTAGGGGATTATCATGCGGACCATCTGGCAACACTGCTCATGAACACTCCTCGAACGTTCCGTTTCGACTTCGCTTCAAATCTTAAACGGGGAGCACAGCCTTTTGCATAACGCATAAACCATATACATAAAGAATTTGATTGGTCCATTGACTTATGCATAAGAAAATGGACCAATAAAATTCCTTATGCACATGCTTTATGCGTTAAAGCCCCAACACACACTTTTGCATAACGCATAAAGCATATGCATAAGGAATTTCATTGGCCCATTTTCTTATGCATGAGTCAATGGACTAATCAAATTCTTTATGTATATGGTTTATGCGTTATGCAAAAGTCTGTGCTCCCCGCTTTACAGTTTCTATACGAGCCCGAAGCGGCACCGTGCAACATCCCTCGTGTCGAACACAATCGAACGTACGACAGGAAACGAGCGATCGCGACGTCGCGAGGTCGCGCGATACATCGAATTAAAACGCGGGCCGCCAAGGCCCGCGAAAGCTTCTCGAACATTCGGCGTAATTGCACCATAGTTGCACTCTTCGACACTCTCTCCCTGAGGCGCGTTTAAATTCCCATTCGAGTGGTCCCTATAAGGCTATCGTGTTATCCTCTGTTTAACGTTTGGTGAACAATACAAATAAAATGATAGCTTGGAGGACACTCGGGTAGGAATTTAAAAGTCTTGAACGCGAGATCGAGCGTACGTTCGTCTCGCTTCGATAAAAAGTGCAAATGATTTAACTGTGTATATGACTATAATAACGGTTTTTGTAACTCATTCACTGAACATGTTACTCATTGTCTCAATGTTTTAGTCGGAAATCTTTTTATCGTATTTTTTAGATATCTTTTGGAGATTCAAAAGACGTTTGGTATTTATGGAGAAAACGGCCGACCTCACCGATTTTAATGAAACTAGGCTCATTCGACGCGTTTTTGCACGAAACGAAAGAATCTGGCAGAAAAAAGTGTCGCTCTGCCCTACGAACCGAGATATTAAGCGTTAAAGTTGACGACTATTCAGGTTAGGAAATCTGTCATACCGACTACATGTAGTGCTACGAGTATGCCTTCTTCATGCTGTCTGACCTCGTGCGCATGCGCTTGGTATCGTTTGAGTCCAACAGAATGCACGAAATTTGAAGTCGGGGCAGACCTCTGTCCATCTCCCCCTCCCCCCCCTGCTGAGGGGCGCGCGACTTCTACGATTGTGCTGTCCGGGGCAGACCTCTGTCCCCCTCCCCCTCCCCCCCCCTGCTGAGGGGCGCGCG